GACAGTAGAGTTCCATCACCCAGCATGCACAGCGCCGAGACAGATTTCTGAGGGGGGGGGGGGAAGGTCAAATAAGTCGAGCGTGAAGACAACTCGCTACTTACGTTCAACCAACACCAGCACTAGTCTAATTAAATGGCGATGTTACCACAGGTTTGTCAATGTTACATGATACAAAGTAAATAACACAAATTACACGATACAAGCAAAGTACATGATACAAATTACATGATACAAAATACATGATACAAAGTACATAACACAATTACACGATACAAGCAAATTACATGATACAAATTATATGATACAAAATACATGAAGTTGATAACACCAAACAAGACCACATCAATAAATATCACATTAACAAACTCCATGCCACCAACCGCCCCCAATCAATCAACACCCGCCCCTGTAAATGACCACCCACCCGTCATCAACTCTCCCCCCCCCCCCTACCTTGTGAGCCTTCTTGCTGTGCCGAGACAGGATGTCGTTGATGGAGAAGACGTTGTTGTTGTCACGTGACCAGACGAGGAGGGAGCCGGAGGAGTCACCACTTATGACGTCACCAGAAGGCGAAAAACAAATTGACGTCACAAACTTTGGCACATCACCCTGAAAAAAAATAAAGAAAAAAATGTCATAAAATTTCACAAGTTGTCTTAACAGCGAAAAAAACCTGCGAAAATTTGGGATTTTTTAAAAATGAAATGACGCGTTTTTCAAATGGGACAATATCAAAGATTAACAGAACTTTATTTTATTTAATGTTTATAAAATAAATTATAGATTTTGTGAATTATATAAATCATAATTTTCTTTTAAACTTTGTTAAGTATAAACTGGCGGGGATAAAAGTCTGTTGAAAAAAGAGATAAATTAGAAACTGACAGCGAAGGTGACCAGTGAGAGATAAAATGCTGATTGTAAAACTAATTACCTTTTTAAATAAAATAACCTGTAACATCTAGAAAATATCTAGTAGTATTTAAACAAAATCTGAAACATCTAAAATATTTTATAACATTTAAAGAATGAAATGGTGAGCTACAGTGAGTAGTTGTGACGTCAGGGGGGTACAGAAAGCTGCTGTTTCCAATTATGGCCGAGATATTTGTTAAAGTTTCGGGTTAATTTATCTATCCTAGCACATCTCCATATTCCCATAATCAGCAGATTCAAGCTTTCCTAAAATATAAACTTTATATACCACATTACACAACTACCCCCACTACCTCCCACTACCCACCAACTAACCCCACTACCTCCACTACCCACTAACCTACCCCCACTACCCACCCACTACCCCCACTACCCATCTACTACCTCCACTACCCCCCACTACTTCCCACTCCCAGCCCCACTAGCCCAACTACCACGACTACCATCAACTACCCCAAACTACCTGCCACTACCCACCCACTACCCCCACTACACCCAGCTTAATACTTTAGAACCCAACCCAGGATGTGAGGAGTAGAAGCATTTTGTTCAACTCTGACCCTTACCTACAACGGTAACGATATCTTTAAAAAGTAACAAAATCTTGTTATCGTTAATCTACTTTGTCTTAATCTTTCAACAATATTTTTCTTCAAAATTCTCCCATGATGATGATGTGGTTTAGGACGTACTGGGGGAGGGGTGGGCTAAAAGACACAAGGGGTACCTTGACACGAGTGCCCTACAGCCTGAACCTGATCATTACATTAAAGTTTGAAACTATTTCTAAGAAACTTAAACAAAAGTTTAATCTACCCCTTACATTAATCACGTCAAACTCGAAGTTTCAAAGTGGAGTTAGTATTTTTTCTGTGAGTGAATACAGATTTTATTCAACAATTTTTCTGCTTTAGTCGTGTCAATAGACCTACCTAATGATCACAGCAATGATAAAAGGCATCCACTGGCCCGCCATCTTTGTTGATAGGTTAGTACAGGAAACAGAAGCTATTTTAGAAGTAAGGGAACAAAGAAAAATGGCGCCGAACGGGTGATGCGTGAAGGTTGAGGCCAGATGAATACATAATCAACGGCCCCCCCCCCCCCCCCCCCGAAATTTTTTAACGCCCCCCCCCCCCCCCGAACGAAATTAAATTTATATAATTTAGATAGAAAATATATACTTTTAACAGTGTCCGCACCCCCCCCCCCCCCAAAGAAAGTCTACCCCCCTCCGAAAATTTCAAGTGCCCCCCCCCCCCGGAGATAAAAGTCTGGAAGAAACACTGGACATAAACAAACAGGGATGGTCAAGGGGGATGTGGAGACGTTACAGGCGAGACAACTGACAAGGGTAGGGCTTTCTTGGGGAAATTGATTTAATAATATACATAAAATTGTCTCATTGATTGATTTAGCAGCATAGATCTACTTGTCTTATTGATTGATTTAACAATATAGACCAACGTGCCTTATTCATTGGTTTTACAATATAGATCTACATCTCATTTATTAATTTAAAAAAATAGAAAAATCTCATGCGACACTGTGAGATAAAAAAAACATTTATAACAGCAGTGTTTGATATGTGAGAGATCTACCTTAAAGATCATCCGAATTTGCTGAGATTAAAGAAAAAACATTTTACAATTGTTGAGGGACAACTATAAAAGCTAACAATATTTAGCATTTTATCAAACGTCAGCATGCACGTATGGAGAGCGCATGTACAAATGTGCTCACCCTTAGGTGCCGCACCGGGTGACACCTGACCTAACAACGCCACTGCGTATAGTGCGTGCATGTACAAACGTGCTCACCTCGGTATAGCCCGTGCATGTACAAATGTACTCACCTCGGTATAGCCCGTGCATGTACAAACGTGCTCACCTCGAAGTTGCCGCTGAGCTTGTCTCTCATTATCTTCCGGCCCTTATCCCAGAACATCTTCCAGAAGTGGATGTGTTCCTTGCCGTACGTCACCAGGATGCTCTCGTCTGACGGGTAGAAGCAGCCGGCCACCACTGGCTCGTTCGTCGTCTGCAAAACCAGAGGATCGTTGTCATGGCAACAGTCACACCAGGGGAGACTACTCAACAAAGACTAAATAATCTCTTGTTTCAACAAGATAATCTAGTTGTCATAAACTAAAGTCTAGCCGAACATCGAGAAGATAATCTAGTTTTCATATAAGTCTAGCCGAATTTCATATGGTTTGTTCTTATTTTTTAAGCTAAGAGAAATTAAATTCTCTGAAATAAGTTGTTTTTAACTTATGAAAGCTGTGTCATAAAATAAAACAGGTTTTTTTTTTTTGACAATACCTCCACGTATTAAAATAAATGGTGTTCAAATTAGTGTTTTAGTATGGACAATTTCAATGAAACGCCTAATTAGTCACGTACATTGATTAACATAATTTATGCATGATGGTTAGTGAGTGTTATTGTCACGTGATTAAGTCATGTGATACGAGGAACACCAATCAAACACACCGATAGTTTTGGGGTGGCAATTCGTTGATAAGCTGTTGTTGTGATTTGTACGGATATATTTCTAAAAAATGTGAACACATTCATACAACATACAGATATATATGGGGAACATGTAATCATGCAACACACATTACAATCATAGCATCAGTGATTCTCAAATGAATAGAGCCAATACATGGGAAGGTTTACATGAGCAGAGAATAGAACACAAGAACATGTAGAGTTACCTTGACTGGAGTAGGTAGCAGCTATATGAAAGGGAGAGAAACCATGTATTACACGAGGTGAAAGGGAGAGAAACCATGTATTACACAAGGTACAGAAAGGCTGTAGACAGAATTTGGGCTGATGTTTAAAGAGTAAAACTTGATCATGCTTTTCGCTTGGGCTGCCGACTGGATGATCGGGGGGGGGGGGGGGGGGATACAGGCCGAGTCTGATGTGCGTCTAGGTGAGCACATTTGGTGTAGATAACATTGCTTTGATCTAGAAGATGTCGGCAGTCTCTGAAGCTAGTGGTTAACTTAACCTAGCCTTTGATGATCCCTTTCTCCGACTGGCCAATTGACTGGACACGACGATCATATGATTGGCGAGCATGATTCTGGTTGGCGACCTTACCGTGGTTCTGGCGACCATTTTCTGGCGAACTTACCGTAGTTCTGGCGACCATTTTCTCCGTCTGCCAATCCCAGACTGAAAGCTGGTGGCGCTCACTGTCGTCGATCGCCATCAGAAGTTCGCCAGTCGTCTGGGGGGAGAAGGTGGGCAGGTTACAGGTAGTTGTGGTAGTTAGTGGTAGTTACTGGTAGTTAGTGGTAGTCAATTGTAGTTTGTGGTAGTCACTGGTAGATAGTGGTAGTTAGTGGTAGTTTCAGGTATTTAATGTTGTCTCAGATATGTTCCAGTATTTCAAGAAACGGCCTTCAGAAGTGAAACCATTAACATATCTAGCAATAATAACGGACAGGACGTTAAGACAATGGAGCCAGGATTGTATGTGTAAACAAAACTCATGAATTAAATGACTGCTAATTAAGGTCAATGAGCTTACAGAGTCTGTGCCCGGGATGCCCCTCTCGGAGAAGTTGAGGCACGAGATGCCCTGCTGGAAGGTGCCAAGGCCGATAACTGCGTAGGTCGACAGGGATGTACCGTCCCACACACGGATGTGAGCCTGGGGGAGGAGAAGGGGAGGTCAGTTAGGTCACGTGGTCAGGTTCTACAGCACGCACGTCACATGACCAAACTGTGGGACGTACACGTTGATGTGGGGGGGGGGGGGGGGGAGTGAAAGTAGTGTGACGTACACGTTGAGGTGGGGGGGGGGGGGGGGGGGTGAGTGAAAGTTGTGTGTAGGAAAGCAAGAGTTACCTACCCCTGTTTCTGGAGTTTTTCCCGACGTTTGACCCGTGGCGATAAATCGACCGTTGGGATGGATGGTCAAGCTGAAAGTACACGTCATCGATTAAATTACGTTATTCAGTAGATCACATTACGTCATTCAGTTGTATGTAATTTACGCTACAAGGTCACACGTGAAGTGTGAGTTAATCAAACATCCCTACACTCACTTTGTGACTCACATGACCCTCCAAATGACCCCCATCTGATGTCCTCTGAGTGACCCACTGACTCCCCCAACCTGTGACCCCATTGACCCACTGATTCCCACACCCTCTGACCCCCCATGACCCCAGTGACCCACTGACCACGTGATGTCCTCTGAGTGACCCATGTAGTGTTTCTGAGTCCCGAACTTCTTGTCGTACAACACGACGACAGCGGCCACTGAGTAGACCAGTTGACCAGTGGACGGCAGCACTGCCAAGTTCTGCTTCATGTCCCGACCCCTGAACCCGTAGCTAGGTCAAAGGTTAAGGTCTACACCAGAACCAGTATGGCAGCATTTGATTGGTTAACTTTACATTTCCCGTCAAACCTAAATCACAATGGGTTATTTAAAAACCTGTAGCGACCATCTCTATTTGGCAAGGGGAAGTTGTAAAAATGTTTCCAACATGTCGATAAACTAAAGACAATGAGTTGAGAGTTGAGTTGACTAGACTTGTTCTCTACACTATGGAGAAGCCCATTAACTGATTGCAAACCCCAAAGCCCCTAAAATGGCCGTCAAATGATTGAAAAGCCCAAAGCCCCTAAAAAGACAGTTAACTGATTGAAAAGCCCAAAGCCCCTACAAAGCCCCTACAAAGCCCCATACAAAGCCCGTACAAAGCCCCTACATCCCATACAAAGCCCCTACAAAGCCCCTACAAAGCCCCTACAAAGCCCCTACAAAGCCCCTACAAAGCCCCTACAAAGCCCCTACAAAGCACCAACAAAGGATACACCCATTCGAGTTTGAGTTTTTTCTCAGGTTTTCTCCCATCATCCTCTTCGTCCGGTACTGATGGCGGGAAAAATTCTGTAAACAAACATGGGGGTGGGGGGGGGGGGGGAACATTCAGTAATGAAAGATAGATCATGGTTGTGTTGTGACTATCTGGGGGTGGGGGGTGGGGGTGGTAGTGGAGATTGTCTGGGTTCAAATATCACGTGGTTTTGTTTACAAACAAAGGTGACTGACCTCGAGTTTTGCCGTTGATGTCACATTTGATGGAGTCAGGTTTGCCGTTCTTGATCCTGCCGTTCATCTTGGCCCCGCCCCTTTCTGTCATCTCAGAGTTGCGTGTGGGGGAGGAGTCTAAAGTCTGGCGGTCAGCAATGGCTGAAACATGAGGGGACAAGTGGTCACGTGATCATGTGACAGACAAGCGGTCACGTGATAATCAAGTGGACACGTGGTCCAGTGCACAAACAAATAAAATATTTGAGTTAGTTACGATTTAGCACTGTGAAGTTTAAAAATCTCGATGCTAGAAAAATGATCCAAAACTCGACTGAAATTTTATTTCTCGAACACCTTTATAAAGCCTCGGACTTGTTATGTTGAATGGTTTAGTCGCAATTCACATATTGGATCACGTTTGTTCTGATAAATCACATGTTTATAATCACAACATACAATTCTTGCCGAGAGTTAACAGGCTAAAAAGCCCTCCCCCCCCTCCCCACGTGTCAACTCACACTTAGCATCTTTCCGTCCACCTTTTCTAGAAACTTCCACCTGCCCGTTGACGCTTTGTTTTTTCGGCGCCAGCTCCAGGGGCATCAACTCCTCCCCGCAAGCCAGGAAGTTGTCGTGGTCGCCGAACTCGCGGATCAGTTGACTGTAGCTCTCAACCTGGGGGCGAGATTGTGCGAGATTTGATGTTAGTCACGAGATTGTGCGAGATTTGGTGTTAGACTCGAGATTGTGCGAGATTGGTGTGAGATGTAGCAGAGAGATATGGAATGCCAAGACAGAATTTGACAGTCTTCAATGGAACATGTCAGACAATACTCGGATGTTTTCATATCACAAACTATACAACTAGTTAAATTGATTAATTAACTAATGATCTCTAATGAGCGCAGATTCTCGCCTGACCTTCTGATGTGGCGCCCTCTCCGTGTAGAGCGCCCTGACGGGTGGGTTGGGGATGTTGACGAGGTTGGAGATGTCGTTGAGGATGTCCTCGAAGTTCATCTGTGAGTTGGTGTTGAGGATAAGCTTCTCGCGGCTGTCGCGGTAGATGTTGCTGATGATGGTCAGCACCCGCGGCCGTCTCAGGGGGGACTGGACCTTCCCGTCCTGCCGGTACATGGTCGATGTTTGACACGTTTGTTATTTGGTTATATAAGTCATCATCGTAATTGGACTCGTTCATTAATTGATTATATACATATAATCGATTTTTGACAAGTTCATTTATTGATTAAATAACACATGATCGAAGCTAATTAAAACAGATAATTTCTCGCAAAAAACAATTAGATATTAATCTTGAATTCGAGAATTTTTTTTTCAAAAACAGGAATCAAAAGTTCCCGTTGATATCCATGTTTGAACATTATATTTCATTCACTGAGTCTTATTTTTGGAACATTGGCGAGGTTTTATTTAGATGGATAAGTTTTATTTCTTCTGTGGTTTCTTGTTAAGATTAATAATTAAGAAGATAATTAACTTAATTGACTACTAGTTAAGAAGACAATTAACTTAATTGACTACTATTAAGAAGACAATTAACTTAATTGACTACTAATTAAGAAGACAATTAACTTAATTAACTACTAATTAAGTCAATTAACTTAATTGGACTCACGTGCTGGAACAAGAAGTTCTCCTTCCGGTCAATTTTCCCGCCCTTCCAATGAGATTCTCGGCTGTTCCCGTAATCAACTTTCTGATGGAAAAATGATCAAAAAATTGTTAGGAAATCATCAAATAATCAATGTATAAAAATTATCAAGAAATAAAAAAAACCCATAAAATATGTTCACAGATTACAAAATATCGCCCTCAGTTTTGTCTTGAATACATTTGAAACTAATTTCCTGTACACACTACATTGACGGTCCTGTTTTGATTGAGTACACGTGACCCGTGTGTGACCCATGTCTGACCCTTGTGTACATGTGGACACTCAATAAGCCGGTTAGTTTTGTACACTCAAGCAGTCACAAACTCCCTATATATCAACCACCATCTGAAACCTTCAGCATACCATCATTACCCCCCCCCCCCCCCCCCCATATACACACACATCAATACCTGAAGCTACCTGCTGCCCTACCCCTCTCCCCTCAACCCCCTCCAGAAGTTACCTGTAACCTGCCCCCCCCCCGCCCACCCCCCAGCAGTTACCTGTAGCCTGCCCCCCCCCCCACCAGCAGTCACCTGTAGCCTGCCCCCCCCACCAGCAGTCACCTGTAGCCTGCCCCCCCCCCCACCAGCAGTCACCTGTAGCCTGCCCCCCCCCCACCAGCAGTCACCTGTAGCCTGCCCCCCGCCCCCCACCACCACCACAGTTACCTGAAGTTTACTGGTACTGGAGCACACGTAGTATTTGCCGTTCTCGAACTCTGTGATGGATTTGATCTCGCGGCCCTCCGGCCAGGAGAAGATGTACTTGACGCCAGTTGATGTCTCCACCATGGAGCTGAGGTCGACTAGTAGCTTCTCCAGGTTGGCGTAGGTCTTTTGGTTGATCAGCACCTGTGGGGGATGGTGACGTCAGCATATACTCGACCAGGTGTCTTAGCTTCCAACAACCCAATGTAGACTAATTAACAGATTCCAACAACCTAATCTAGACTAATTGACAGATTCCAACAACCTAATCTAGACTAATTAACAGATTCCAACAACCTCTAGACTAATTGAACGATAAACTCTCAAGTCTAATCAAAGTCTAATTAAACTTTACCTGCTTTGGTTTAAAGTGGGCGTCACCGTTCCTAAAGAACAGCACCCTCCTCCCTTTGATGCCGTCACCCCCCTCCCCGGGCTGCTTTTGGCTGACGTCATTGCTGACGTCACGCAGCCTCGAGTCCTCGTAGCGCTGACGTATTTTCTGGGGTTTCCTGAAGATGGGCGGCTGCTCCATGACGTCACTCTGGGACGAATTGACGTCATCATCGCTAACTGGGGCGGGCGGTATATTCTAAAAATAGAAACAACATTTGTATTCACTTTTTATGGAGAATATGTTTACGTCATGTCAAAGGGAGAGGATGGGGGTTGGGGGGGGGGGGGGGGGGGTTAGGGGGGTCACGTGACGATGATATTTGAAAACATTTAAACCAATTCAGCGCAGGTAGACCTCCAGGCGACACATTATGTAAGCTGGACATTTATGTCGTGGAGACACGTTTGGTCGTCTGCTGGCATTTCAAGGGGGGGGGGGGGGGGGGTGGTGGCTTAAAAATAGACGATTCTAAAGTAATAAAAAATAAACTGTGCATAAAAGTTTAAAAATAAAACATTTGAAAAGTTAATAGAATTAGAAAGAAGTATAAGAATCCTGGATAAGTTGGTGTTTAGAGTGCCGAGCAACACAGTGGCGTAGCGAGGTCGGGTGTCACCCGGTGCGGCACTTAATGGTGTCACCCCCCAGAGGCGTAGCGAACCTTCCCGAGGACAAACTTTCAAATTTTCGATTTGCACCCCTCCCTCAAACTTTCAATTTGCACCCCCCCCCCCGTCAAGTTTTTCTATATATATTTTGCTATTTTTGCCTTGGTGTCACCCCCCCCCTAAATGGTGTCACCAGGTGCGGTCGCACCCCCCCCTCGCTACGCCACTGGAGCAACATGTTCTATAAACTTGCAACATGTGCAGCATGTTAGTAGGTCGGATCTTTGTGTGACATGATACTAGAGAGGTGAGTTTCCCGACATGATACTAGAGAGACGAGTTTCCCGACATGATACTAGAGAGACGAGTTTCCCGACATGAGAGAGGCGAGTTTTTCCCGACATGATACTAGAGAGGCGAGTTTTCCGACATGATAGAGGCGAGTTTCCCGACATGGTAGAGGCGAGTTTCCCGACATGATAGAGGCGAGTTTCCCGACATGATAGAGGCGAGTTTCCCGACATGATAGAGGCGAGTTTCCCGACATGAGAGAGGCGAGTTTCCCGCCATGATACTAGAAGGCGAGTTCCCCGAATTGAGAGAGGCGAGTTTCCCGACATGATACTAGAGAGGCGAGTTACCCGACATGAGAGAGGCGAGTTTCCCGACATGAGAGAGGCGAGTTTCCCGACATGAGAGAGGCGAGTTTCCCGACATGAGAGAGGCGAGTTTCCCGACATGAGAGAGGCGAGTTTCCCGACATGATACTAGAGAGGCGAGTTACCCGACATGAGAGAGGCGAGATTCCCGACATGAGAGAGACGAGTTTCCCGACATGATACTAGAGAGGCGAGTTTCCCGACATGATACTAGAGAGGCGAGTTTCCCGACATGAGAGAGGCGAGTTTCCCGACATGATACTAGAGAGACGAGTTTCCCGACATGAGAGAGGCGAGTTTCCCGACATGAGAGAGGCGAGTTTCCCGACATGATACTAGAGAGACGAGTTTCCCGACATGATACTAGAGAGACGAATTTCGAGACATGAGAGAGACGAGTTTCCCGACATGAGAGAGACGAGTTTCCCGACATGATACTAAAGAGACGAGTTTCCCGACATGATACTAGAGAGGCGAGTTTCCCGACATGATACTAGAGAGGCGAGTTTCCCGACATGAGAGAGGCGAGTTTCCCGACATGAGAGAGGCGAGTCTCCCGACATGAGAGAGGCGAGTTTCCCGACATGAGAGAGGCGAGTTTCCCGACATGAGAGAGGCGAGTTTCTTGACATGATACTAGAGAGGCGAGTTACTCCACAGTAAAATGTAAAATACTGAATATTTTCTAAAAAAGTGAAGGTAGAGTTGGTCTTTTTATGCCAGTCTTTTTGTAAATGTCAAGTTAAATACAAAATCACGTGACCGTTTGTTAGAGTATACTGGCATGTTGCAACGTCAGTGGGTTCATTAGGAACTTTCTACTCTAGATGACCACTTAAAACACACACAAGATGACCAAACACCCACAAGATAACCATTTCAAACACCTACAAGATGGCTACTCCCCCCCCCCCCCCCCGCGAATATCCCGACCCTGAGGTATTTTAACGAACACTAAACTAACACTGGTCACAAGAGATTTGTTCTATCTAGTCCAATGTATCAAGAGATTTGTTCTATCTAGTCCAATGTATCAAGAGATTTGTTCTATCTAATCCAATGTATCAAGAGATTTGTTCTATCTAGTCCAATGTATAAAGAGATTTGTTCTATCTAGTCCAATATATCAAGAGATTTGTTCTATCTAGTCCAATGTATCAAGAGATTTGTTCTATCTAGTCCAATGTATCAAGAGATTTGTTCTATCTAGTCCAATGTATCAAGAGATTTGTTCTATCTAGTCCAATGTATCAAGAGATTTGTTCTATCTAGTCCAATGTATCAAGAGATTTGTTCTATCTAGTCCAATTGTATCAAGAGATGTGTTCTATCTAGTCCAATGTATCAAGAGATTTGTTCTATCTAGTCCAATGTATCAAGAGATTTGTTCTATCTAGTCCAAAGACCAACTGAAAACACTGAGTGACAAAAAAGAAACGTGTGCCAACTGACGTCATCTTCTACGGGTGAGTAACGGTTGTAGTTGGAGGGTCTCTTGAAGGTGCTGACGTCAGGTACCCCGTATCTGCTCCTCTCCTCCTCCCTACGTGCCGCCCTCCTCACCAGCTGCCTCCAGGGGGGCTTGAGAGGACGGCTATCACGTGATCGGTCGGCCTCGCTTTCAAATCGAGTCTGGTTGCTGGACTGTCGGACAACGTTTTTCTTTTTGCGGCGGCCATCTTGTGACGGACGTGACGTCACTTTTTCGTTTTCCGCCGCGAAGCCGTCGTCGTAGCTGGCTGCAAGTGTGTCGGCGTAGTGGTGGATGGCGTCGTCAAAGTTTTCCTCGCCAGCTGAATCCTGGGAAACAAGACACGGCTTCGGTGAGATTTTAATTTTTATATCAAAACTGTTAGTCATAATACAAAGTAGCAACAATAAAAAGTTGAACTAAATTAGCCCACAATATTACCAGCATAAATGTCGATAAGCCCCTAAATTAACAAGTTAGATCTTATCAAGCCCATAATATCACAAGCCAGAACTCAATTAGCCCTAACATCACTTGATAGATATCCATTAGCCCATAACATCACTTGCTAGATATCCATTAGCCCTAACATCACTTGCTAAATATCCATTAGCCCTAACATCACTTGCTAGATATCCATTAGACCTAACATCACTTGCTAGATATCCATTAGGATATGTATTCAGTAATCAACCCTCCTGTAATTTGTGGGGGTCATGACTTAATCTCAAAGTGTAGCCGCCAACTTGCGGTAACTTACAGCTAATCACGTGACCCTAATGCTGCTGATTGAGGGAAGCAGACGGTGCCTCCAAAATTTTCGTCTGTTTTTGTTTTTTGTGCAATTTTATCTTTCAAACAATCTTGGACTAAACCTCCCTCCCCTTCTCACCCTCCTCCCTCCCGCCACCATCAAAAAAGAAAACAGCTGAAGTCTACACAAACTCTATAATAAAACTAGATGTGATGCTAGCATCATCTACCATCAACTGCATCACATCATCTACCGCCATCTACGACCCACTATCAACTCTAAGATCAATTTCCTTCACCTGACCCCCTAAAGTCTGGCATCAAGCCACTCAACTGACCCCCTAAAGTCTGGCATCAAGCCACTCAAATGACCCCCTAAAGTCTGGCATCAAGCCACTCAACTGACCCCCTAAAGTCTGGCATCAAGCCACTCAACTGACCCCCTAAAGTCTGGCATCAAGCCACTCAACTGACCCCCTAAAGTCTGGCATCAAGCCACTCAACTGACCCCCTAAAGTCTGGCATCTAGCCACTCAACTGACCCCCTAAAGTCTGGCATCAAGCCACTCACCTGACCACCTAAAGTCTGGCATCAAGCCACTCACCTGAGCGAGTTCATCTTGCTGGTAGCTGTCCATCTGACGTCCGTCGTCCGGCAAACCTTCGCTGCTCTCAGACTGACCAGAAGAACCGCGGTTCGAATCCTGATCCTGCCACGGGTCGTCCCTGGTAGTGACGTTCATCTCAGTGTGGGCACATCCCCACCCCCTGTTGTCACAGTTTGCTGTGTCCACACCACGCCAGCATCAGGCAAACTTTCGTCACAGCAACCAACACAACACCGACACAATGGAATTGAGAATCAGCCAATCGGCATGCAGCAAACACTATGCTGTTTAAAACAAATGTTTTCCGTTTGTGCTGGTGATATTGTCTTAGATAAGAAATCTATGGAGAAGAAATCCATTCAACCGTACGAAAGATAGCAATCCATTAGTAAATAATTTCTAAAGACGCATAGAATAGAGCCTCGCCTTGAATGTATCGATTATGGGCTGCATACACTTGCAGTATCGAGTTTCAATGAGTATCCGATACTTTTTATCCCCATGCAAATATTCACTTTCTGTGACAGTTCCAGACTAGACACTTAACACGAGGCACTCGTTTAAGCACAAAAAACCTTTAAAATCGTTGGAGTGAGTACACAGGAATTAGTTTTCTTCAAATGTTTCGTGGACGTCCGCTGTGAGCAAGCAGCTTGATGGACACAATCAACAGGATCAAGAAAATCGAGACAATCCACACAATCGATATGGACGTGTACCGAGTCTCCGCTCACACGGCTCGCGTCTGCCATAAATAAGTTACAACCGCCGGCTAGCTATCTATATCGTCTGATTTCTTCCAATCGTTTTGTTTTAAACGTCTGCTATGGAAACCTCTGGCCTAATTACTTATTCAAGACTAAGTACTCTATCTGTCGTTACACCAGGTTTATACTGGCGCAGACGTATGTTTACAATGTCAGTTGACGTCCGTTTACAATGTCAGTTGACGTCTGCTTACAATGTCAGTTGACGTCTGTTTACAATGTCAGTTGACGTCTGTTTACAATGTCAGTTGACGTCTGTTTACAATGTCAGTTGACGTCTGTTTACATTGTCAGTTGACGTCTGTTTACAATGTCAGTTGACGTCCGTT